GTGCAGCCTTCAGTTTCACCAGGTGGAAACATTGTCCATATAATGTGAATACATGTAGAACTAGACATTAAGAGGCCCCTGACATTTAGGCCTATTTTCAAAAATAGTAGGGGCTTTTAACAGCTTGCCAACCTACAGGCATCCTCTGCATAGCAGTATGAATAGCCTTAAAAAAAACAACCCACTCTGCGGTAACGAGAGTCATATTTCTGAACCAAATGCCCTAAGTTAAGCCGTTAGTCCCATCTGACTGACCCAAGGGTTGGTGCTGGTGTGACCGGGAGGCTTCCAGGTGTTCAAAGCTTTCAGTTCATGGCTTGGTGGGGGGAGTGGCCCACGTTAGACAGTATTGTTCAGTTTGAGGAGTGGCATTGTCTCTGGAAGCAGGTAATGGTGTCCATTCTCAGACCAGACCATTAATGTCATTTCATGTAGAGCAGCCATAGCATCTCTGTGACTGCACTCAGCCGGACTGTCAGAACTGGGTGATTCTTAGTGAAGCCGTCCAAGGCCATAGACAGAATGGAACCACGTACCAACAAAAGGGACACAAGGTCATCAATGTCTCTCTTTACCATTGGCCTAATTGCACAACAAATTAGTGGGAAAAATGTGGAGCACTAATCCATCATCATGTGAAATGTTGAGTTAATCTAAATAATTACTTATGGGTTGAAATCAAATTAACATTAAAACTAAAGTCAGTCAAAATTGGACTTTGCACGGGTCAGAATCTAAGCAATACACCATTTCCCCAGCTCTGTAATGAAAAGGATAACAAGATTAGGTACTTTACAGGAGTGTTCCACACCCAAACATGCACACTTATCTTATTCTAGTAGAGATTAGAGGACAAGGTCTAATGTCGTGAACAAAATGATCAAGTCAAAGTTATTTTGTTTATTGTTATGTACCTAATTTAATTTAATAATTAATCTTGAATTACTAATAACTTTAAAGAAGGCAACAATTTACAATTTGGATAAAGTGATTACTCATCCAAAGTGTGTGTGTGTGTGTGCTTGTCTGCCCAAGGTTTCAAACATTTGGGACAGCACAGCAGTGAGAATGTTATGAGAACCAATCTGTTGTTTATACTAAACTCGAAGGAAGCTAGACTGGAACATTTTAAATAAATCAAAACACTTGCACATTAATTAAATACATTTCACATTTAGCTCGAGCTGGGTTCAATACTTTTCTTTATGGTATTTAAAATTGGGCTCGAGTAGAACCCCTGGATTTGGCTTGCAACACAAAGTGATACTGATCTCTGTAGGACTTGGGAGTGTTATGATTCAAAGTGCCTGTGAAAGAGAGGCTCTTGGAAAACAACACCTATTTTGTAACTGTAATTACTTATTTTAAAGAAATTGCAACATTATACTTTTAAAGAATTGCTCAATTAATTTAACACATTTATTATGCACACAATAAAAACTTCAACAAATATATTGATCCTGGCTTAACCAGCGACCTTTACTCTGTTGTTCATAAGCTCGGTTTCAGAAAACTTGTCAGTAGTTTAACAACTATTTTAATGTTAGTATTGTCTACAGAGACCAATTGGTTGATACTAGAAATAATTTCAAGCAGTTTAATAAATAATGTTAAACTATTTTTAAAACTGTAATTGAACTTCAACTTATATTAATTACCTGATTCCAGTGGCCAGTTGGAACAGAATAATTAACACAGTTTCCATTTTGCTGCAACAGCGCAAAAGGTTTCAACAACAATTAGTATTATGTCTGAGTCTTGTTCTGCTTATCTGCTTTGTTTCGGAATGTGTTCAATACATTACGTTTTTATTCATTATTACTATACAATACATAGATTAAGAATAAATGAAACAAATAATACAACATTGACCTAAAACCAGATTTTGCAACCCTGATCTCCTCAGGCAAGTCTCTGAGGGTCTCGGGGCGCAGGACGGGCATAGGGTTTATACAAGGTCACAAAGATATCTTAACATACCAGCAATACCATTTAAGAATGGATTCTTAAAGCAATATAATCTTATTTTCTTCTTACACCTAGCGCTCACCCTGAACAGTGGGCTTCTTGTTTACATGTTCCCCTGCACTCAGAGGCAGGACATAAAAACACTTTTTATTTTTCTCAGGTCATTTACTTTTGGTGAGATAACTACAGTTTAGTTCATTTTACCCTGTCTATGGACTGATTCATTATTGTTACAAAACATACACAAGACGGCGGGACAAACCAATATAGACCCCCATACAAACAATCAGACAAACAAAACATGAACTCTTAATAAACACCAGCGCGACAGCAAAGCTCTTCAGCTCAATTTAGTCCGGATTTTAGAGATCTTAGAGGGGGTGGGAATTATCTCCAGTGCGGCGTCTTCTCACGCCTCACCCTTGTATACAAGTTATTTATCGGTGCCTGAAAGCCGTCCAAGAACGATAACTAGCTTATCCTCTTGCGACAACCACTAGGCTATTTGTTTCTAGTGGCGCTGTGCCCCCCCGATCGGAGCCCACAGACTTTCCCCTGCCCTTTCTCTCCAAACAACAGCTCAGTTGACTGTAGTCCGTACGACCAGCCTATCGCCATCGAGTTCACCTCAAGGTGAAACACAGTTTGCCTATGCTTGCTTGCCACTACACACCTCTGATCAATTAGCCTATAATTGTATGTATGCACTCCTGACCGCCACCTGCTCCAGAGAACCATGGCGCATCGGGTGATGCACGCACTTCGCGCTGGCCCGTCTAACCATGAGAAAAGCGGTCCTAAACAACGAGTGCTTTTAGACCGTCCCGTTTGAAGGACGGTGGTGCCGTGAGTTAAAACCTATAGGCAATAAGCTGTGACTTTCTTCCTCTCAGCCTGCACTGCTCCAGCCCCACACACACACGGTGAGGTTTTACACACACACGCAAGGCTGCAGCTGGAGCCGTGTTTTTACAGAGAGGTGATAGCAGCAAATATCTTTGGCTGCTTATTTTCAACTGCTATGTTTAGCCACTAAGACCCTCAAAATCCGGCGATTTGTCCAATACAAATCTTTTACATTGCTTTCAATTCACACAGAAGCTCCACTTCACTGATGCCCTTTCTTTAAGGTATCTCTAAACATGAGCTGTGTATGCCTGTATGGCACTTCCGTCCCGAGCAGCACACACAGAGGAAATCAGCCAGGACTGAGTCCCCAGACACTGATCTCCTGGGTTTATCATCCCCAAATGTTCATTAACCAAAAGGAAACGCAGCCGATCAGTTTCACAGGTAATTTTAGGATACCGTCAATCACAGATTCTGATAAGGCAATGTCCAAAGTAGATTTGAAAATCACACTTACCACAATCTGAAGATCTGTTGGCATCCTGCCGACAACGCCAATTTGTAATGGAAACTTCTGTGTAGCTATGCAGTGGGAGTCACCGACTCAGGAAGGAGACACGGGAAGAGCAGTAGCTTTGATGTCAAACACATGATGGTTTATTTGGAGTTAACGGCCGGAGGATTCACATCACAAGTCCAAGAGTCAGAGGTTCTGACTTCACGGTAGAGTTGCCACGTCAATTCTGGAGAGCCTCTCTCTTGCCAGCCCATCTAACTGGTTTCGCAGAGAGTAAACAACATATTTGAGGAGATAGCCTAAACAGTGTGGGAGCACAGAGCTACTTGCCTCGGACACTTATGACCTCGAAGATTTTACCTTGGAGTCCACAAATACAGAGAAGGAAGTGTCCCAGTGTACCCACAACACAGACCATCTGTATCCCAGTATTGACCGGTCACAGAATGGGAACAATAACATTATTGGCTAAGCCGCCTGTGTCCTTAAAGAAGGTAAACAGACATCGAGGTTTGTCTTGTATGTTACTAATTGGCGTCTTATGATAATTATTTCCACAACAGTTACAACAAGTAGTGTGTTGTGCCTGTATGTGTGTATTGTTAAGCATGTTCCCCTGGCACATAAGAATGTGTGAATCCTACACAGTGAGTCAGAAAGTGCAGACTCAGCCCTCACAATAGGAGTGATGGACCCAGCCCTAACCTGAGGCGCCTGCTGGAGCTCAGAGGAGAGATCTGTGCCTTTCCTTTCTGTCAAGCTGCCACATGCGAGTCTGAGCGGTCACACACTCCAGCAGCTGATAGGCCAGCAGCTCACCATGCCTCCAAAACCTAAAACAACTGCAGTGTGATTCCAACCAGGAGGAATGTCACAGCACCACAGGAGCTATCAAACTCTGCGAAAAGAGCTAATACCTACAGGGCAGATGATTAATGTGCTTAATGGCAAGCCAGATTGACCATATCAACTGCTCATGATAGAAAACCATAGGAACAAACTGTGCATGATGTTTTTTACCAACAGTTTCACAATTTGTGTTAAAAAGGAAAATATGTGTTGTTATTTTCCTTTGCAAATCATAAAGTATTCATTTAGCTATTTGCATTTATGATTGCTGAATGTACGGAGTGTTAATGGATTGATGCAGTCAGATTATTTATGACTCTTCTAAGAACACTCCTTCTTAATAAATCTAATGATTAATAAAAGAGACACCATGCAGAGTGGGCAGCGCCTGTGGTACCGGTGTTAAAACCAGATGACTCAGCATCAAGGTTGTGCGGTGACTACAACAATTGCTACATACCTCAAGATAAGAACACTAATTGCAACACAGAAAGAAATCAATGAATTAAGGAATTTAAACATTTGCAAGAATCCTAATAACATTGCAAGACATTAGTTGAGAGCAGATTCGGTTTATAAAAGGTAATCCTTGGTTATGGATGTCGGTCCAATGCAACTTTACTGACAAATCAGTTACCATTTAAGAAGTGGTTTTAAGGATGTAGCCCATGTTGCATTTCAGTTATTATGTTTGAGCTCTTAACCATTGTTAAATAAAGGTGTTATTGTTGCAGGTCGTGCAGACAGGGTGAGGTCGGGACACGCCCCCCCCCCCCATCACAACGCGGATGTCTCTGCAGGCTCTATAAAACAGAGGCACGCCCACACAGCCTCGCGCAGACCTGAGAGCAGCTCCGTCAGCCTCCACCCAGCATCTCCCTTCTGTCGTCACCTGGTAATGCGAAATAATCTGCACTTTTCTGCAAAACTATTGAATGCTTTTAACTCTCTGTAGCTTTGCAGATAGCATGTATGCATTTAAAGGCCACTTTCTTCTTTTTTTATTTTACCATTAAGAAATTCGCCTTTTGCATTAAGATTTCTGCAGCAAATACTTTTCCTCATATGTTTGAATGTACTCATGATGACTGGTGCATGCTTTGTGTTTCTATTCTCCGTTGGTGTATTGTAGTGTATTTACTCAAGTATTCTTCCTAAATACGATTGTGCGGTAGGCCTACTTGTACTTTACTGGAGAGATTAGAGATTTTGTTTGCGCCTATAACTATATTCTACTGCAATTCGGAAGCAAATATTCAACTTTTTACTTTTTTCTAATTAATAAATAAAGTATGATGATAATAGTTTAAGATATAGCAGCAGTATAAAGTAATCAAAAGTAGCTCATCAACAGCTAATCAGAAGAAAAAAAATCCAGTCATTTCATATAAATTACAAAACGCACAATATGTACTTACTTTTGGTACTTTTGGTACTTTTATTCTTTCACTTAAGTAAAATGTTTATTGCAGGACTTCTACTTGTAACAGAGTATTTTTACTTTAACTTAAAGGGGACCTATCATGCAAAATGCACTTTTTGATGTCTTGTATACATACATGTATGTGTGTCAGGGAACTCATAAAGTGTCAGAAAACAAAACCCTCTCTCTTTTCCTCCGTACCCAAATCTAGACCCAGGCCTGAAATAGAGAGATATGAGGGATGTCTAAAATGCATGATCTGTTTGGTATTTTGAGCAAAACACATCATAGACATGTTTTTTACATTACATGACATGTCACTTGTTAGACGCTTTTATCCAAAGCGACTGACATACTCAATACTGTGGGCAATCCCCACAGGAGCAATTTGGGGTGAAGTGTCTCAGGGACACAACAACATGCTGACTGCAGTGTGGTTTGAACCTGTGCTCCCTGATCCCCACACCAAGGCTCTAGTCCACTGTGCCACTGCCTCCCGTATATATCTGAGACCCATAATGTATGCCTAAAAATAGCATAATAGGAGACCTTGAAGAGTACACTTCCCACCACTGATATTCTCTTTCAATATCAATTCTATTTCTTCCAATATTTAACTCAACCCTGGGATAAGTTCCTCCTGCACAGTATAATATACATGGTTTGAGTTTTTTGGAGTGCCTTTTTTTCCGAGAATATACCACTCTGACACTTTGCAGTTTGACAGTGGGTGCAGAGGACACTCCCTGGTTCATCTGGGTTTATTCAGCATTCATATCAACACACCAAAACACCAGTGAGGAGGATACTCCCTGGTATTAGGTGTAAACAAAACACACCCTTTAATGCACCCTGCTGGAGCTGCACTACAGGCTGAGCAACGCATGCTGCAGGGTGAACTAAGCAGGGACCTTCTGTGTGGAGAAAAAGGGAACTTTTGATGGAAATGAAATAAAGCGACATTACACACTGTTGATGAAAAACTGTTTTAGATAACATTTAAAATGTTTGTAATGTGCACCATTTTTATAAAACTTTTTAAGTGATGGTAAATGTGCGTATCACTGTTTTTAGGACTTTCAATGAAATCATTTAGCTTGGTGCTAATCAATCCAAACATGAAGAAAACGGATCACGGATAAACTTAATACAACTAATGGATCAACCGACTAGAATAACCAAAACCTCTAAGACTATGATAGATTTATTATTTACTAACAAAGCTGACAGAATAGTTAAAACCTACAACTTCCTGACTGGTCTTTCTGACCATAATCTTGTTCTTTTTGCCAGGAAACTCACAAAAAAAAGGTTCATGGCCACACCTAAAACCCCTGCCTTGGGTTCTCGCTTCATCCCCAAAAACCTGCAACAACGTTTTATGGAGGCATTGAAAATGATTAATTGGGGGGACACTCTGTCCTCTGAAGATATTGGTGAAAGCAGTAATCTGTTTATATCTAAAATGAATGATACAATGTCCTCCTTCTCAAGGAGAGGGTGCCTTAGGGACAGGAAGGAGCATCATCTTCCTGTTTTCAATTGTTTTCTTCGTCATAGTCATCATTAAGTAGACCAGAACTAAATTATTTAAATGCCTAGTCATTGAATTGCTTGTTTTTGCAGAGAACTGGACAATGTTTTGCAAAAAAAGACTTACATTTTCGGTCAAATGTCTGCCAGTGGAGATCAGATTGTCTTTTCAGCCCTGTATGAGCTGTACAATCAATCAGCTCCTAGTTACATTCCTTGTGGCCCACTCAGGCCCTGAGCACCATGCTGCAGCACAAAGAGTTCGACACCGCGGGGAAGAAGCCCGGCCTGCAGGTGTGGCGCATTGAGAAGATGGATTTGGCACCTGTCCCTCCTGAGCTCCATGGAAACTTCTACACTGGAGACTCATACATCCTGCTCCACACCACCTCTGCTCCTTCTTACAACGTGCACTCGTGGTTTGGTATGAGACTTATCTGCTGACACCTCAAAGAAAAATGGCTTTTTGTAGAATTCACCTCATTTGCTGGCCTTCACTTTTTTTATTTAATCAGAATCCGAATATCTTTATTTTCCCCACAAAGGGGACATTTATATTGTTACAGCTCAAGTAAAAAGACAAAAATAGCCTAATATTAATTAAGAAGCATGCATAAAATATTAAAGCTAAAAATCGAAATTACACAAATAACAATTTACAAATACACATCCAGTACGTGTAACCAGACCCGGCGCCAGAACAAATCTAAAGGGAGGGCCTATGATTTTCATGGGAGGGCACACAAAACCGTCACGCGCTGCGGGCCTGCGGCACAATATATATCAAACAGCAAGGCCAACAGCATTGCGTAAAGACGCACACTTATCGCAAACATACACAAATAAAGGGCAACATAGCAACCACTTTGAAACATTGTGTGCGTGGCAGCACAAACACTGGTAAATCACGAACAAGGTTGACAGCTAAAAAAGCTATAATATAAACGACAGCTGACACGTAATAACGGCTCCGTGCCAGCTGATCTGCACCAAAGTACTAATTTCCTTATTTGTTTCCTCGCGTATCTGTCTCTCTCTCCACACACTCTCACATGAAATGTGTTCTTTTGATGCGGCATGCCTTAGCAGTCCTTTATCAATCTGTAATGCGTGTTTCCAGTCGCAAAAACCTTTGACAGTAAAAGCCGCATCAGATGAAGACGTATTCACTTTAAACTGTCTACAGGGGAAACAAAAGGCTGCGTCTGCTTTTAACGAATATTCAAGCCGGTCTGTTGTTGTACCATGCAGCGGCAAAAGTGCGCTTCTTTTCTGAAAACAATCTCCCTGGATAACGATCCAGCTTCACCTGCTTGGGTTTATTAACCCCAAGATCATCGCTAACTCAGCCCCGGGGTTTGCCGAGGTCAAGCTTGTGACATTAAGGCGTGCTGCTGCAACGGCAGGTGCAGGGTCGCCAGCAGCACCATCGGCTGCAGTTATTTCATCGCTATTTCGTTTTAATAAATCCTTAGACCTTTGGAGCCAATTTCTGATGTCCATTTTGTAATGCAAACAGAAATGGGAGTCTACAGAATGCACAATAAACAAATCCAGAATAGGCGGCAGAGTGTGACGCTGTGATTGGTCTAAATGGGGACGAATCACAAATCACAGACAGATGCATTTATTTGACGTAGCCTGCGATTTTTGTTGTTGTTCTGACATCACATACATCGTAGCATAAAAATTCACAGTTTATTTATAATTAAAAAAATAAAATATATATTTTTTTTAATTTTTATAAATAATAAAAAACGTGTTTATTGGGGGAGGGCAGGAATGTCAAATGGGAGGGCCTGGCCCTCCCTGGCCCTCCCACGGCCCCGGGCATGCGTGTAACAGTATTTAAAAATCAGTGTATCATGTATAAAGTAGTGTGATAGCAGCCAGGTGATAGTATTACAAGTGGAAGTATGTATTGTACAGTTATTTACAGATGTATTGCATACGTTGAATTGTCTAACCAAGGGAGGGCAGGCCATAATAATACAATATATATTTTAAATGTTATCTCCTTTCTCACAGGAGATGAAACTTCCCAGGATGAGAGAGGTGCTGCTGCCATCTTCATGATCCAACTGGACGACTTCTTGCGTGGAGCACCAATACAGTTCACTGAGTTTCAAAACCAAGAGTCAAACAGCTTCCTGAGCTACTTCAAGTATGGCATCACATACAAGGTGAAACATGACATAAGAAAAGTGTGTCCTTTAGGAATCAAGAAAGATCAATTCACTCATTTGTAGCGGACTACAGAAACGAATGAACCCAAGACTATGACCTAAGGCAGCAAAATATGTTTTGCATGTTTGTATCAGAAGTAGAACTCGTCACATTTCTATTTTGGGAAATGTTTGGAGCCATGGCTGGCTGCTCCCTATGGGTTTCACCTACGTTTTCCGTAGGGAGTTAGAACTGGTAATCAAGGCGAGCTGAAACATGTCCACTAATGCATAACACCGGCAGATGTCATCCGAAGAAGTGATTTAGTATCAAAGATGTGGAAATATTGAGTTGCAATACTAATCTAATAATGAGTTAGGATCCAGACATATTTTAAGGTATAGTTTGACAGTTAGGGAAAGAGTTTGATCAGACGATTGACACCGAGTTTTTCCCCAGAATGTCAAAAAATAAAATGTAAATCAAAATACCGTGCAGCTGTAGTTTTATTTTCTAATAGTTCTAATGCTTTATCCTTCTTTGCTCCTATTAAAGAAAGGTGGAGTGGCTTCAGGCTTCAACCATACTCAAACCAATGAGTTAGACACCCAGCGCCTGCTACATGTTAAAGGTCGTCGTGTAATCAAAGCTGATGAGGTAGTCATGAACTGGAGCAGCTTCAATCGTGGAGACTGCTTCATCATTCAGTTGAAAGAGGTGAGACAGAAGACACACTGGATACCCAATGAATCTTTGACTGAAATAGTAGAGGCTTCAGGTGTTACAATGTTCCACCATAACTCTCATTTTCCTCTGCTCATCTCTGTGAAATGCTAGTGCATCTACCACTGGGCTGGCAGTGAGTGCAATATGTTTGAGCGCCTGAAAACCACTGAGATGGCCATTGGTATCCGAGACAATGAGCTACATTGTCGTGCTCGGATCGAAATGATTGATGAAGGCTCTGAGCCAGAAGCTGTCATTCAAGTGAGCTTTTTACTTATATAATGTAACAGCTATATTAAGACAATATCTGGCTTTGGTTGATAGGAAGGATGTAAGTGCAATAATGCAATTTGTAAATATGTGTTTATTTATGCTTTAGGTTCTTGGACCGAAACCTGACCTCCCAGCAAGCTGTGATATAATCAATGATAAGGAGAACCAGAGCATGGTGTCTCTCTATATGGTAAAGACGACATTACATTTCATTAAGCAGCTGTTATCCAAAGCGACTTACAAAGTGCCATCAACCAAAAGGATACACATTTAGAGGAACAAAAGTCCAGAACATTAGCTTAGAAAAAGACATACCCTTTTAATTGCTATTGCATTAGCCTTAAAGGGGCCCTATTATGCTCATATTCAGGTTCATATTAGTATGTAGTGTCTCTACTGGGACATGTCTCCATGCTTTAATGTTCAAAAAGTGCTGCAGCACCTCTTTTCACCCTCTGTCTGAAACCAGAGCCCAGTCTGTTGTGATTGATCAACCGCTTATAGATGTCCCGCCCCTTAGCCTATCACGTACAATTTGTTTGAGCACTAGCCAACAGAAGCGTGAGTGTTACATAGTGATGTCACTATGTTGCTGAAGTAAACAAAGGAGTCCAATGGACGCATTTCAGGCAGGGGGGGGGGCTCCCTCGGGAGGGAACACAGGGATTTTAGTCCGTGCAGACCATTTACATGCACAAAAACGTATAGAACATGAATTGTTTTGTGTTCAGTACTTCAGGAGAGACAACGTTTTTTGTTAATAATAAGTCGCACCAACACCATTTGGAAACGTTGAAGTCAAGCTGTAGCTAAACTGTATAAAACATTCTGAAAAGTTACTTTTCCTGATTTGGTCACGAGATGTTTTACCAAATTTAGCAAAAAAACTGATTTGGACAAAATCAAAAATAGAGGAAAATTGAAAAAGAGATTTCTTTCTGTGGCTGAGACAAAAATAAAAGTTTTGGGCCAGAGCTATTTTGTTGCTATGAAACCTCTAGATAGGGAGGGTACATACATCCAGACAGAGGTGCCTCACCTCATAGTTAGATGTGTTAATACTAAGCTTTTCCATTAATCACCTTTGATAAAAGTTACAGTATCAGAAAGATTCTTATGATAACAAAATGAAGCTGTTTTAATCACTGTCGTACTTTCTAGTTTTCTGATGCAGCCGGCAGCATGAAGACCACCTTGGTTGCAGATAAAAACCCGTTCAAACAGGAAATGCTCTCCCCCGGGGAATGCTACATCTTGGACAATGGTCGAAACAATCAACTATTAGTTTGGAAAGGTATACCACCATGACATCTATCCATTTTTGCTACCATTTGTTCTTTGGCTACACTCTTTTTAATGTATTCATCCATGCTCAGTTCACTTCCAGCCACCAGTTATTAATAAGCCTTCTGTGGTTCCAACTGGGAAAACATGACTCATCAATAGATCTGACCAGAGTTTGTAGTCTAACCGTTGTACTTGTAAACTGCAGGTTCTGATGCAAATAAAGATGAGCGCCAGGCATCAATGAGAGCTGCATCAAAATTCATCGATGAAAATAATTACCCCAAAAAAACTCAGGTAATATTGCAATGTGATCTCTCACCAGAACTTTATCCTTCTTATCTTTTCTTCCTGTTTAAGAATGTGGTCAATGTCCATTTCCAACATGAACAGATCATAGTGATGCCAGCAGGGGGAGAGAGCACCCTCTTCAAGCAGTTCTTCCCCAACTGGTTGGACAAGGATGAGACCACTGGCACAAGCAAGGCCTACACCATCGGTAGCATCGCCAATGTGGAGCAGATCCCCTTCGACGCCTCCAAACTTCACAACAACAAAGTCATGGCTGCCCAGCACGGCATGGTGGACGACGGCTCTGGGACAGTCAGGGTATTGCTCTAGCTGATGACATTCATGTATTTAGATCATGTCCAATTTCACTTAATTGGTCCAAACAGGTAACTTTGATGAGAAAAACACAAAGAGAGAGCTCGCTTAAAGCTAGCTACTTGTTGAACTCGTATAGCCAAATTGAGACTTGTCATTAAATGATCATTATATATATGCTGTATTAGGCTAGACTGTCATTTAGTAATTTATTTGGTTGTTGGTGTGCGGTGGCTCAAAAAAGGTTCAGATATCACAATGTAGAGGTGACGATGTTGGGTGTGTGCAGATTTGGCGTGTGGAAGGAGGCGATACAATTCTTGTGGACCCTTCCAAATATGGACAGTTCTTTGGAGGAGACTGTTACCTGGTGCTGTACTCCTACACAGACGGAGCCAGAGAGAAGCATACCATCTACACCTGGTGAGTGCAACCTTTTCAGCATGGCCAGATTTACCTGTTAGACCTCTACTGACCCAACTTTATTCAGGAATGTGCACCTTGTGAGCACTAACATAATAAAGGTCTAAAGGCCCGGACACACCAAGCCCATTTTGGCCATCGATAGATGTCAGGCCGATGATGAGTGTCGACACGCCTTACTCAGATTGGTGTGTCCCGCACCGTCGTGTCTTTTCAGCCGTGTCGACACCTTTTCGGCTGAAAACCCACCGATTGTTGAATCAGTGGGTTTGGCAGTCGGCCTGTGACGCTGACAATTAAGCGGCCCCGATCAAGCAAGGAGGCAGAGGCAGAACGTCCAAATACAACCCGGTGTGGGCATTTATTACCTCATGCACATATGACACAGCCTCAATCTGCTGTTCATGTGAGCACAGTCACCAGCCACAAGGATCTCCCACACACTCCCAGCCTCCAAACAGACAGGGAAACAGAGCCTAAATACCCACACACTAATCAGCAATTAGACACAGGTGAGGGGGGAGAAATTAGACACAGGTGGGGGGGGGGGGGGCGGGAGACAACACAGGGCACCAGGTGAACATAATCAGGAGTAACAGAGAGAACTGAGGTTACCTACTGTAACCCCAGCTTCTATGAGTAAATGGCGTAGCCCTCTAAGGCTATTGGGTAATCCCCCTGCACCCCCGTGCAGCACTGAAACACTTGTAGTACACGCCCACCCGCAAGGTGGGCCCCACCCTCGGGCATCTTTCCGGTATAAATAGGAAGGAGGCCTGACAATCTGCTCCCATACAAAATAACTTTTCTTCAGCTATTCGTAGAGCCAGTGGGGCCCCGCACTTAGAGGGCTGCACCATTTACTCATAGAAGCTGGAGTTACAGTAGGTAACTTCAGTTCTATTTCGTATATGGCTTCACCCTCTAAGGCTATCGCTATTGGGTTAAGGGCGAAGCATGATGTAGTCTGCGCCCCACTGGGTCCGCCCGGCACTAGAAGCACAGACACACTTGCTCAATAACACCCCCTGCCTGTTGTGCCATGCGTAATGGCGCATCACCGTCCATGGAACATAGCAAAACATGCCTATCTTCCCTGACGGGGTGAAGGCTGGGAACAATACATACATGTGAGAAAGTAGAGACGAAGGTCCCACCTTGCCCAGCGATCATAGAGGGGGAACAGCAGCTCTCTGCATGTCAGACAGGTAGGAGAGCGCCCAGCTGGATCCCTGACGTCACTCACTCTGACCAGGCACTCCGTACAAAGTGTGTCAGACGAAAAAGGAACCTCCCTCCTATAAGAGGGAAAAAGGCCCGCTCTCCGCGTGCCGAGAGGCAGGAGAGAGGCGCACAGCTGGATCCCTGACGTCACTCACTCTGACAGGACACTCAGTACAAGGTGTGTCAGAGAGCAATGAGAGACATCCCTCAAATAAAAATGAATAAATGAACAGGGGGAAGACCAAGATGCAGCAGTGCAAATATCTTCCACTGACATTCCTCCGTGCAAAGCCGTGGAGGAGGAAATTCCTCTGGTGGAGTGCGCATTGATGTTCTCCGGGGGCTCCACCCCAGAGGAGACATATGCCTGTGACACAGCCTCACACAGCCAGTGTGACAGCCGTTGTGCAGACAGAGGCTGCCCGATTGAGCGCTCTCTATAGTGCACAAACAGGCGCTGAGAACGTCGCCAGGCCGCCGTGCGCGCCACATAGCAAGACAGCGTGCGCACCGGACAGAGGAGGGGGGAATAAGCCAGCCAGGGTGATCACTCTTGACCTGAAGGAGCTTGTGATGACCTTTGGCATAAAGGCTGGGTTAGGGCGTAACACAGCCGAACTGCCATCTCCTTGGATCCAGAGGCATGACGGAGCCACAGAGAGAGCCGACAAATCCCTCACCCTTTTTGCTGATGTTAGAGCCAAAAGCAGTACTACTTTGGCTGATAACATTTTAAGGGGAACCTGCTCTAAAGGTTCAAATGGGGCTTTGCTTAGTGCTCGTAACACCAAAGCCAAATCCGACTGAGGCGCCAGTGCGCGTGATACCGGTCTGAGTCTTCGTACTCCTCGCAGAAAACGTTTCGTCAGGGGGTCCCTGCTCCGAAACCCACGTGACAAGATGATATGGCAGCCGCATATACCTTGATTGTGTTGAAAGCCAAATTCCTGTCCAACAACAGCTGGAGGAATGACAGCACGTGAGGCAGGGGGCACGTAATGGGGTCCAGGCTTCTTTCTACACACCAACGCTGGAACGCTGCCCACTTGGCTGTGTAGGACGCTCTGGTAGACGCGGCCCTGGCTCCCTGAATGGTACGTACAACATCTTGAAAGAGACCCAACCCCTCTAAGTGTTCCCGTTCAGGGGCCATGCCCATAAGTGCTGGCCTATCACTGGTTGACTGCTGATCGCTCCCTCCACCTGCGAGAGAGCGTCCCCGCGCCACGGAATGTCCCACGGCCTGCCTGACAGCGTACGCTGTAGGCATGGAAACCAGGAAGCGCCCGTGCGCTCCGGGGCAATTAGGATCACTGACAACCGCTCCTCCTGCACTCGGTCCAGGAACCGAGGGATCAGCGGGACTGGTGGGAAAGCGTACAACAGTCCCCTGGGCCATGGACGATGTGCGAACGCGTCCACCCCCAGGGGGGGGTGGTCCCGCGCTGACAGGGAGAACCAGAGGGCGCATTGCGCGTTCCCGCGTGTGGCGAACAGATCCACCTCCGCCCTCCCGAACCGGCTCCAAACCTGGGCGATCAGCTCGGGATGTAGGCTCCAGTCCCCCTGGCAAGGACCTCCTCTGGACATGAGGTCTGCCCCTTTGTTCAATTCGCCGGGCACATACATTGCTCTGATGGAGAGCAAGTGTGCGCGCGCCCAGATCAACATCCGTCTGGCTGTGTTCTGAAGCTACGCTGAGTGTACTCCGCCCTGACGATTGATGTAGGCTGCCGCGGCTCTGTTGTCTGTGCGAATCAATACATGCTGATTCTGCAGCAAAATGCTGAATTACTCTCCGTACGGAGAGCAATTCCAGCACGTTTATGTGGAAGGACATGTGAGCCGGCCACTGTCCCCCCACTGCCTGCGACATACACGTTCCTCCCCACCCTGAGAGAGATGCGTCTGTGAACACCGAGATGTGTGACGTAACTCTGCCCAGGGGCACACCCTCTGACAGGACGTGGGGACTTTTCCAATAGGTTAAGTCTGAACCCACGGAAAGAGGGATGGCCACCATGCGCCTCTTCTGTCGCACGGGGTCGATGCGTAGGCGAATAAACCACCTCTGGAGTCTCCTCATGTGCAGGAGACCCAGGGGAATCACCACGTGACCGGCTGCCATCATGCCGAGCAGCTGCATCACGGAGAGGGCTGTCACCACGCTGCGGGGTGTGACGCGTCAAAGGAGAGCTGTCAGTGTCTCCACTCTCTGCCGTGAGAGTCGCGCTCTCATGCGGGCTGAGTTCAATTCCACACCCAGGTAAACAATACTCTGGGAGGGAAGAGGACAGCTCTTTTTCCAGTTTATTATGAAACCCAGCTTTGACAGATGCGATATGAGCTGTGCCGTCTGTAAAGCCTCCCTGGAGCGAGCCATCAGCAGCAGGTCGTCCAGGGAAAACAGTACTCTCATCCCTCCTCTGTGTAGCGGCTGCAGTGCCGTCTCTACACACTTTGAAAAGGTGCGAGGAGCCAGGGAATAACCGAACGGCAGACGGTTGTACTGGTACGATATTCCCTGGAATGAAAACCGCAGGAATTTCCTGTGTTGTGGGATGATGGGTACGTGGAAGTATGCATCCTTCAGGTCTATAGAGGTGAACCAATCTCCCTGGTGAACGCATATAATTCCTTTATTGTCATCGCACCAGATACAACAAAATGTAAAAGCACCTGTTTGATCGTCAGCATGTGAAAAGGCCTTTTCATTATCGCCTCGTTGAAAGCTGATAGATCGAGGATGGGTCTCATTCCCCCTGTCTTTTTCGGGATAAGAAAATAGCGGAAGTAATACCCCTGATTTTCTTCCCCTTGAGGAACCCTGGAAATAGCCTCTTTCAACAGGAGTTCCCGTAGCTCTGCTTGGAGCGCAAGACACTGTTCTCGGGATGACAGGCGTGTCTCCTGTATCCCGTTGAACTGTGGGGGTGGGAGGCGAACTGCAGGGTGTACCCTCTGCTGATCAGCCTGCTCATCCATCTGTCCATCAGACACACGCGCTGCCACTCTGAGAAACACTCGGGCGCACATGCTCGAGATGTGTTGTGGTCGTCATGACGACGAGCCACGCCAGAGCCCTCGCCGCCGCTGCCCGTGAGGCAACCCAAGGTGGGCCTAGAGTAAAAGGGCTGTGAGGAGGCCTCCACACGCTGCATTTCACTCCGACTCTCATCATGAGGCGCGTACACGCTCAGAGGATGAGTGGAGGTGCGTGCAGTGCTCTCCACATGAGGCGTTACCACGGCTCTCATGGACTTATTGTGACCGTGTGTATAGGTGGCGTATCTCGGACAGAGGAATGCCGCGAGGTCTGTGGTTTAATAACCGAAAAGTTATAACCACCAGGCCTCTGCAGCGAACCCTGCTGTCCACTAATCAACAGATTGGAGGCAGCTGGCTTAGTTACCGAGGTCTGCAGTTTATTAACCGATAGATTAAAACCTGCAGGCTTTTGTAACGAACCCTGCTGGCTATTAACCGGTTATAGGCAGCTGGTTCACCCAGAGTGGGGGATATGTGAGACACATTTGAAACTGATGACTCAGACAAAAGGTCGGGAAATGAGCTTTCTTTCTCTTTATTTCCCTCACAATCCCCCCCAAACCGTCAAGACCGGCTCTGCTTCCTCGGCGGCTCTCGTGGAGCAGATGACGAGCGGGAATACCTCACTCCCCGTTGACCCCCCACTGTCGCCGCCGACGGACGAGTCTGACGCCTCGGCTGCGGTTGCTGTGGGCGTTTCTCCGCCTGCCGCTGTGGCCAGGTTGGCC